AAGTTTGAGGGCAGGCTGGGGTGGAGGTGGGGTGGGGTGGGGACGGGGTAAGGGGAGGAGTTTTAAGTTTAGGTCTTAGAGTTATTAAAATTGGCGGGGGCCAAAGAAAATACTATTTTTAACTAATGTGGTATAGTACCACACAGATTTAAATAAGCTTTATGCTGCATTTGAATTATTTGGGGCATGTTACTGGGAGGAGGTGGGAGGGGTTTGGTTATGTTAAATGTTTGATGTTGAAATTGTTGCATGTTGAATTCAAACTTTTTAACAAGTCCTTGATGTTTCAATTTGAAAGTGACCAATGGGGCTGAGGCTGTGTCCACTGAGGCTAAGATGACTGCCTTTCCTGATTGGCCTTGGCTTTTCCATACATTGTGTGACCCTTGCCCTATGACCCTTTGGCTGACCTTACCGGAAGCCATGACGACAGCAGCCTTTTGCCATTAGACGCAGGGTGATGGTGAGGATTCCAAGGGTTAGACAAAACTGGTTAATCTGAACTAGGTGACTGTTACCTTGCGTGTTTTGTGGCCAAACCACCACCAAAAACCTCACACTGTGATGTAAGTACTTAGTGTAACTAGTAAACATTTTTGTAAAATGTAGAAATGCATGTAATCAGTTAAGTTTTATATTTTACAATGTTCTGTAAAATAAAACTTAGCGAGGTAAATTGAATAAAGGAGCAGTCACTCTCTAACAGATTGTAGGAGAAGTTTAGTTGGATTTAGTCTATTTGACTTGCCCTTAATTTAATTTATGGCAAATCACAACTGTATCAAAGGTTTAGCAGTATAATAGCAAAGTCCTACTCCAGTAAATAAAAGTTGATATGTTTGTACTAACTTTCAAAAAACATGCATCCCTGTCATTACAAAGCATCTAATTATTCTCTTCATGTGATAAAGGTGGTGGAGGTGGATACAGCAGTCGGAGAACCTCTGGCAGAGACAAATATGGACCACCTGTTCGTACAGAATTCAGGCTTATTGTAGAAAATCTTTCTAGTCGTTGCAGTTGGCAAGATTTAAAGGTATGTGCTATAATTTGAGATAAAAATGATACGGCTGGGGCACCTGGGTGGCTCAGTTAAACATCTGACTCTTGATTTCAGCTCAGGTCATGATCTCACAGTTGGGTGGGTTTGAGCCCCACATCCGGGCTCCGCGCTGATAGCTCGGCGCCTGCTTGGGATCCTCTCTCGCTCTCTCTCTGCTGCTCCACCTACCCGTGTGTGTGCTCTCTTTCAAAATAAATTAAAAAAAAAAAAAAACGATATGGCTAATGTTTAAAAGGTAGGCTTTTGCTTCACTTTTTTCTTAAATTTCTGAGAATCCAGTACAGTACGTAGATTTTTTTCATTACATTTCTGAGTTTAATCTTGTTGCTTCTTTAGGATTTCATGAGACAAGCAGGTGAAGTAACCTATGCGGATGCTCACAAAGAACGCACAAATGAAGGCGTGATTGAGTTTCGTTCCTACTCTGACATGAAGCGTGCTTTGGATAAACTGGATGGTACAGAAATAAATGGCAGAAATATCAGGCTCATTGAGGATAAACCACGAACGAGCCACAGGCGGTCTTACTCTGGAAGCAGATCAAGGTAATTTGTTGAAATACAGGGAAAGGAGAAGAAATCATATTTGCTAAGAGCAAAGAAAAATTCAAGCAGCAGTATTTCAATTGATGCTTAGTTGAAATTCAGTATGTAGTCTCTTTTGTGTTGTGCATCATTGAGGTTCTTTTCAATGTTTTAAGGTGGACTTAATTTATGGTAAGAAATTATATTTTGTTTACTGTTTTTTGTAAATGACACAAAAGTTTGTGTTGAAATATGAGATTAATGTTTTTTATTGCATCTTTTGTTATAGGTCACGGTCTAGAAGAAGGTCACGAAGTAGGAGTCGCAGGAGCAGCCGCAGTAGATCTCGAAGTATCTCAAAAAGTCGCTCCAGGTAAATAATGAGCTGTTAGATCTTTTTTTCTGAATGTTACTCTATTTGTATGTTCTGGCAAGGTATTGAGAAAAAAATCCGGCTCTTCTTGTCCAGATCCAGGTCTCGGAGCAAAGGTCGATCACGTTCTCGATCAAAAGGCAGGAAATCCAGATCAAAAAGCAAATCTAAGCCCAAGTCTGATCGGGGCTCCCGTTCACGCTCTCGAAGCAGATCTAAGGAGTATGAGAAATCTCGAAGCAGGTCTCGTTCTCGATCTCGTTCCCCCAAAGAAAATGGAAAAGGTGATATAAAGTCAAAATCTAGATCAAGGAGCCAGTCTCGTTCAAATTCACCCCTACCTGCTCCACCCTCAAAGGCACGTTCTGTGTCCCCTCCACCAAAAAGAGCTTCAAGATCCCGTTCTAGATCTCGTTCAAAGTCGAGGTCACGGTCCAGATCGAGTTCCAGAGATTAACTTAGAACTCTACATTCTTTGCACACTATTATGGAACACTTTCCTACTTGCTTAAGCAGTTACTCTTCCATGTTTGTACTTGGCCTCTTTGCAAGAGGAATCTCCTGAAAACAGGGGCACACAGAAATTTGATTTGTGGCCAAATTTGATGAAAAAGATGAGGTTCTAAAGAAATGGTGGCATGAAGTCAAAGATCCTCTCCCTTCTTTGTAGAATTAAGATAACTTTGATTTTATAGCTTTTGAGCTAAAATAACTTTTGTAAAGATTAAGCTCATTTAGATTTTTTTTAAGTATTTCAGCAGGATCTGCTGCAGGGGTTTTGTTGTTTTGTTTGCTTACTTTTAAATTAACCGTTTCAAGCTTTGAATACCTAAGGCTTTAGAGGGAGAACCCAATTTTCAATTATGTTGGCTTTTTATAAGCTTGAGTTATGTAAGATTTCAATAAAAATTTGCTACCAAGATAATTGCCTTACTGAATAGGTCACTATTAAATTCCTTTAAATATTGGTAATCTACTCTTTGTGGAAACGATGTAAATTCAAAGTGTAAAAGAAGGCAAGCCTCAGACCAGCAATAAATTATTGGATTTGGATAACATTTTGTGCTGTTAATCAAATTTGCCAAAGTCCTATCTGCCCCTTTGAGTTTAAAAGGTATTTCGTGGTCCGTCTATTATATGATTTTGCCTAAGTTAGTGGATTTTAAATGATGAAAACTTTTCAACTTAAATTTAATTGAACTCTTGAAGAAGTACTTAATACTTGAGAACCCGTTTAGCCTGGTAATCCCACTTTATGGAGAAATGGTCAGTGTAATTAGTGTTTTGTTAGAATATGGTTCCATGGTCTTTAGTGTTTGTTGTATGAAAATGGAAGTAGCCTTTCTTTGGAAATTTAGCGTATTCTTGTTCAAAGTAGAAAAGCAAATACTGCATTTTCAGCTGGAAGATTATTATATTTAACAGGCACTTAACAGGTTGCTTGGTAAAATTGGTTGCTGATTAGAGTGAAATTCCACCCAGCCATCAGTCGTTAATGGTTGATGGGGTTATGTGATAATTGATTAGATCATCCTTGTAACTTTACAGCATATGGTGGGCTTGAAAAGAATTTACATGGGTAACCTCTAAATTTTCTGTACTTTAATATATGCTGTGGAAGCCAAATTATACTGCAAATTTGTAGGAGTTACTGGATAACCAATGGGCCCATGCATCTATAAACCTAATTAGTTGAAGTTGCAATTTGAGAAATGAATTACCCCCTATTTTTATGTTCAGATACTTTAATTCCATTTAAAAGCACTCATTAATCTTGGTTTGAAACCAAGATACCGATTGTTTGACTCCGCTTTATTATCTTCTAGGATCTGTCACTGCATAAGGTGTCAAGGACTGGATTGTACTATAATGGGGCATGGTGGCATAGTGCTCATCATGCCACAGATGTGACTAGAAAGCATGATAATCTAGAGTTGGTTTGTAGGTTCCAATAATCCAGAAGGCATACCTGAGATGAGGCTGCTTGAGAAAATTGAGTCAAAGATTTAGGTGTCAAAATCCCAGAGTAGCTGGGAGGAGTACTTGCTAGTGCATAGAAAGATTTGTTATTCAGAAATTTCTGAGCTTCCTGTTAGAAAATTTTAGAGCCTAACTCTTAGGAAAATAGTGCCCCAAAAGGCTGATGCTTCTTCCATGACCTTATTTTCTTTTCTTTACTCTCATACTGTTTTAAAGTTTAGATATTCACAAGAAATGGGTTTTTTCCCAGTATAAACTTCAGAATTTGAAAGAAGACACTAGTGTCTGTGATTGTAGTTACTTTCCTACTTGAAAGAACAGAAGGTACAATTCACGAAGAGGCACATCTCCAGCTGCCTTTCAAAATTTGGTTAAAGAACAAGTTGGTTTAAGAATTGGCTTTGACCAAAGTTTTCTCGTTTTCAGGGAAAGAACAAAAGCTTTTAAAACCACAGCCTTTTAAAAAGGAAGGAGGGGGGAATATTGCAGTGTGAAATTTGACTTTGTAAAAGTGTAAAACATCTTTCAACTGGGCTTTCTTGTGTTAGTCTAACCTCACATGGTAATGGGCAGGTTTACCTACATTGTTAGCTTGCTTGCCCCCAAAGTGGGTAATTATATGGGTAAGTGCCTACGCCCATAAAAGTTTCCTGGTAATAGCAAAGACCAGCTTATTGAGAATCTAGTCCTATTCTATCCCTGTGGACCTCAATGTCATTGGATATACCTAAACCACTATAACACTGGCCCACTTGAGAACAGAGTTGACTGCTGAAATGTTTATTAGTTCCTTGCTAACTTATCAGTAGAATCTGAGACTCTGCAACATGCCATGTGTAAATCCTTGGCTAGATAGAGTATTAAACTGAGCGCAAAAATAGAAATGAGCAACATCTCGATTCCCCTTTCTTTTTACCTGATAGTGTTGACTGACACGCCATAGTGCCTTTAAGGCCAATTTGAGTCCTACCAGTTCCTGTGATTTACGTTCCAGTCCTGTGTTGTTACTACCTTTCATCTTGGTATCTTCTTTTGCCCACTTTGTTAACCTACTTTATGCTTTATCTCCTCAATAAAATGCTTACTGAGGGTTGCTGGTTTTGGATTTATTGTGTATTCCCACTTAGTACCAAATATTTGGTAAATGGTTTTTTCAACTAGAGTTGCCAGTTGGCAAGCCATTCCTGACTTGAGTATGAGGAAAAGGGCTTTTCAGTTCCTCAGAGACCTGTTTTAGGATCGACATAGTGGATGGTTTATCTTGGGCAAGTCATTGTGCTTTAATGTCATCCATGAAATTGGCAAGGACAAGCCATGAGTTGTGGAGATTAAAGATGACGATCAGGAAACTTGGCTGGCCCCATCAGTGGAGCATAGACTCTTGACCTTGGGGTTTATGGCTTGAGCCCCATGTTGGGTGTAGAGATTACTTAAAATCTTTTTTTAAAAATAGAGGTTAATATCAGGAACATGTTGTCATATGACATGTAATAGCCATAATAAGTACTATCTGCTGTTGTGAAGGATTAACCGTATGAAACTTTTTTGTATTGTCTTGCTTTCACATAAAATTTACCTGTTACCTTAATAGTGGTTTGAGCATTTTCTGTGACGTATTTTTCAGGTAAACCAGGAAGCTTTATTCACCTTTTCCAAAGTCCTTAACCTAATTTCCTTAATTTAGACTTGGAGCACTCTAAACTTCGGCAGTTTACATTTAGGAAACCTCACGTTTTTATTATTTACCTTGTTTTCAGAAGGCAGTTTTCTGACTTTATCCAATTTCAGTCCTATGGCTGTTGGATGTTTTGTTCTTAAGTTTTGACTTAATTGCAAAATTAATATATACTTGGGAATATAAGGTATCTTTCCTTTAGAGCTCACTGGCTAAGGTAGCTGCCGTTAACAGTATCTGTCACTGCCCAGAATTATTTGATCATAAAACCTATTTTTCCCAATAAGCTGTTAGTCCTTACCGTGAGTGGTGTTCTGCAGTTTGCTTTTACTAAGATCTGCTATTTTAAATGGCTGACTAGTATGCTCCTGAGTGATATATAGTAAGCATACTTGTTCAGTATCCTCATTGTTCTATTTAATCCCTTGGCTTGTGTAGCAGGAATGAAAAATACTATTTTTAATGTTCAATATCAAACGATAAGAAAGTTTTTTTACATGGTTTGGTACCTACTAATTACCAATTTACACATTAAATTTTGAACTTTTTGAGGCAATGACCACATCTTGAATAAGATGGATCTATGTATGTTTAACACCAGGTTTCCATTTGCCAAAAGGATGAGTTAATGCAATTGTGTAATTGATCTAGGTCCTCAATAGCTTGTTTAGATTTGCTTGGCTAGGTTACAGCAACCCTACAGATGGGCCCTCAGTATAGTACTTAAGTGATTAACCTTTTATAATACTTGAATAGAAAGGAGTCAAAAATTGAGAGATCTAAAAAGGTTAACATGGCAAATTTCACCTTTGAACCCATGGAAGAAGCCAGGAACACTAGTTTCTTGTGTATTCTTCTGGAGATGTAAATCTGAAAGAACTGGTATTTCCCGGGTAGTCTCATCAGAGCTCATTGGAATTTTGCAAAAGCAGGTGGTACTGAGTATTACAGCTCAAGCACTAGGAAACTTAGTAATTAAGTTTTTATTTACTGTTTACACTCGTTTATACCCATTTTCAATATCATTTCTGAGGAAATCATGGAATTAGCATGAAGATTTATTAGCAGAGGCAGGCTTTAAATCCTGGTTCAGTTCCTAACAGCCCTAAAGCGTTAAAGAAAAACAAAAAAACAATGTCAGATAATTCCTCTTAGTGAAAAGCACTCAGATTAAGGAAGGCTCAGAGAGTAGAGAATGAATAGACTTTTTAAGTAATAATTTTGATAAACAGAAAAATCTTGTACAAAAAACTGTATACCCTTTTCCCATCACTAATTATACTTTGTTTCATTTACAAAAATTTTTTTCCTGAATCATATGAAAATAGAGACATCTTGCTGTTCTTTCCTTAAAAACTAATTCCTAGGAATGGGACATTGTGTTAAACTACAGTGCCTACCAAAAATAACATCAATAAAGTACTGTTGTCTAATCCATGCTCCATAGATCTGTCTCAGTTGACCACTAATAATTCTTTGTTTTCTATTGGTTCAGGATCATTTGCCACGTTTTGTTGTCATGGCTTTTCGGTCTCCTTTAATCTGGACCGTGTCCTCAGCCTTTTTCTTGGCCTTGTCATTTTGAAAAGTAGAGGACAGTTATTTGTAGAATTGCCCTCAATTTGGGTTTGTCTGCTGTCTCCTCATTGCATTTTTAGCAGGAATATCACAAGAATGAGATTATCTTCAGCTCATCATGTCCAGTCATCTTATAATAACCTGTAAGGCAGTACTTCCTGTGAATAGACTGTCTTATAAATAAAGTTAAGAAAAGGGGTTTTTGTTTTTAGGAAGAGAAGGAGCTAATACTCTAAGAGCTGCTGAAGGGAGAGCTTGGATAGCATCAGAGAGTACACCATTACCACTGAAAGCTGGAGTGTGGTTCTCCTAGCCCAGGGCCAAAAAGGGAGCAGGAGGCTACTTTAAATAGAGGAGAGATTAATAGATTCCATAGAAAATAAGCCATGTTCTCTTGTGTAAAACCATGCCCTCTAGTATTGTTGTGGGGGTAAATGCTGTTATCAAAGCATTGGCATAGTCACTCCATGGACTAAAATACTCTAGTCAAACCCTAATACTTTCTTTCCTAGCCAATTGAGGAAAAGGTAGGCAAAGCACAGTTGCTGATTATGGTGCCCAAGTATCTGATTAAGTGACCACTGCTACTTTTTAGCTATTCATGAACAGCCTTGAGTATACTATTTAAATATATTGCTGTTACTTTGATTTTATGAGCTTGCAAGCACCAGTTAGAGAATAGTATGGTGAACCAACTCCTGAATACTTAATTCAG